CTGGTGAGACCCCCCACAGGCCTGCTACCCTGGTGAGGCCCCCACAGAGCCCTGGTTAAGCCAGGGCTCTGCGGGGTCTCACCAGGGCTCTGTGGGGGGCCTCCACAGGCCACTGTGGGGACTAACCAGCCTTGTTAGAACCCACAGAGCCCTAGTGAGACCCCACAGGGCCCTGGTTAAACCAGGGCTCTCACCTGCTCTCCACAGGGCTCTCCAGGCCGCCACTCACCAGTACTGTGCTGGCCGTGTCTCGGGGGCGGGAGCGTGCAGGACCAGCCGGTGCCGACATAGTTGCCATTTGCTGCTAAAGATAAACTCCGCCCTCCCAGCCAGAGATCCTCGTGTGGTGGATGGGAGGGGTGAGGTCTCTTCTCATTGGCTGGTGGGCAAAGCTCCAGAAGACCGAGTGGATGGACCCTACCGACGATCGAGGAAACGTATGAGCTCTCAGAGCTGTCAAACTGAGAGTCTCAGTTTGACAGTGGCAGGGCTGAGAGCTCGCAACGTTACCTGACTGCGAGCGAGGTGATGTGGCATTCCGACAGGGCAAACTAGGCGGCCGCAAGGCCCTCAGGAGCACAAGGCCTAAGATCTCTGCAGAAGCAGCATAGTAGTAGTGCTGATCTCTGCAGAAGCAGCATAGTAGCAGCAAGCAGCTAGCCTGGTGCTCAAGGCTGAATAGGGACCCGATGCTGGGGTGGGGGGAAGCCTTGGGCACCAGGCCAGCTAAATGCTGCTACTGTACTGATCTCTGCAAAGACTTCCCCCCTCAGCGTCAGGCCCCTATAATTCAGTTTTGGGCACCTGGTGCCCAAGGATGAATAGGGGCTCAATGCTGAGGTGGGGGAGCCTTGCTCCGAGTTAAGTGTAAAAAAAAAATTAAAAAGTTAAAAAAAATTAAAGCATAAAAAAAAATAGAAGCTAAAAAAATAGTCACTAATAAAAAAAAATGTAAAATAAGACAACAATTACCCCGCCCCCCCCTACATACACACGCAAACATGTGTAGGGTGCGCCAACGTGCGAAAAAGACGATTCCGCCTATTGCGCCACACGTTACATATTGCCGCGAACGTCGGAATGAGAGCAATAATTTTAGGGCCATTAATTACTGATAACATTAAACTGATGAGCGGTTCAAGCTCTTAAAGAGTCATCTACGGCCAATTGTGGGTGTGGTCGTTTTCTGCTATTTCGCAGGCGTGCACAATTTTAAAGCTTGACATGTTTGGTGTCTATTTACCCGACGTGACGCCGTCTTCTATGTTTTACAAAAAAATTGGGATGATACTAAATGTTTCATAACATTTCATAGGGAAACAGGTTTTTTCCCCCCAAATTTAGGGTACTTTTTTGTTATAAAAAATAAAAATCACCAGTGGTGATTAAATATCACCAAAAGAAACCTCTATCTGCCCCCACAAAATGGTAAAAAATGTGTTTCAGTACAGCGTTGTATGACTGAATAAATGTCAGTCAAAGTATAGCAGCGATGAATACTGAAAAATAGCCTGGCCAGGAAGGGGGTGTAAACACCTGGTTTTCAAGTGGTTAAACACGATCTGCAGATTCTGGCCCCTGCCACATAAGCAAATCATGTTCCTCCTTGGTAGTAAGGTTGAGAATAGGCATGTGCGATTCATTTCGGAAAAATTCGTTTTTCTGACAATTTTCGTTATTCGGAGATTCGGATGTATCCGAATTTCCGAATAACAGATATGACAAATTAAAACGAATCTGAATTTTCGAAAACTACATTTTGGATGAAATTCGTTAGCGGTAGTCTAAACTAATTTTCGTTTGTGGGCGAATTTTCGTGGCAGCCAAGGCATATAAAAAAAATGTAAAAAATGTATATGTCACTTGGGTGCAATGAAATGAATGAAACAAACACAAACAGAAAACAAATATTCATACAGACTACCGCTAACGAATTTCGTCCGAATCTGAATCCCGAATTGACTTTCGGGCCCGAATCCCGAAAAACGAAATAACGCAAAATCCGAATTAAAACTAAACAAATTTTTTGCCGGTGCACGTGTCTAGTTGAGAACAGCAATAGCAGCTTTGAAAGTCGATCTTCAGGGCCTGTAGTTCTCTGGACAGTCGTCGAACCTTGTTAATGAGCTCACGGCGTATCATATATCTGACGCTCAGACAGGTCTGATCTCTCACTCTTTGGTGCCGAAGTAACTTGTGGAACCCCTTGGACGTGAAAGTTCTCTGGTGAAGAAGGTTGAGGTATACCAGGATAAAATTATGTTGCAAGAGCGTTTAGCTGTGGTATAGTCTTTAAGGCTTCTGCTGGTTGAAGCTTGAACTGTGGCTTGTCACTGGAAGTCACCTTTTTGTTAGCAGGAGGTGATGTGGTTTGCTGTGTAGATGCACTTGTGTTGGACCTGAAGAGGCCAAGTCAATTTGATCTGAGAGGTTTCTGTGTCGAGAGTCAGGACAGTGTTGTTAGGAGGTACAGGAGATGACTCTGTATCGTTGCAAATATTATGCTTTGCACATATTCACTGGTGCGTTCAACTGGATCTTCCAGTTCTGCTGGGATAGAGCAGTCCGAAAAAGTACTTTGTCCCATTGCTTGTTCAAGGACCTTCAGCCTTACTAGGGCAACTGCTTCCAGGGCCGGCCTTAGGGTTGTGCGAGCTGTACAGGGCGCCATGGCAACAAGGGCACTGTGCGGCCGACACAGCTCGTCCTGGGGGCGGCTTCTCTCCCCCTCACCGCTGGCCCTCCGATATGACATCGCTCACTCGTCCGCCGCCCCCCCCCCCCACTTCAGGGGGG